GAACTTAAATAACCCGCAATATAAAGATTACTTTGATGACCAACACTTTCAAAATACTGAAAATGGGACTGGACCTTCTATGGGGGCTATGTTTAAACATGGATCTTTATCAACAAATTTCTGCGAAGATGTTTTCACACATCAAGAACCCGTAATGTCAAATTGCATGGATATATGAAAGTGTTGGCCATGTATCCTATATGAAATAAAGAAAAACTCAAGAGTTGTTCCAATGTATGTGCACAATTTCTAAGCTCTATCTTAAATATTTTGATCTCTATCGCGATTTCAACAGGCGGATATGACTAGATCAACATAGATACTTATTTTCATTAAGAATATATATACTTCTCCTATGAAATGGCGTCACATTTCACATTCGAAATGTCACATTATCTGTATTTTCGGATCGCAATGTAGAAATTGTCTCATTCAACAATAAAGTTCTGTCCCTTTAAATATCAACAATTAATGAAAATGTTTCACTGCATTAATGAAAGTTTTCATTACAATGATGAAAAACTTTCAATGATTTAATGAAAAATTTGCATTGCATTATTAAAGATTTTACTTGGCATTAATGAACAAATTTGATTCCAGCAATGATGAAGTTTCTTTGCATTAAGGAAGGTTTTGCATTGCATTAATGACAAAGCTTCATTGCATCAATGACAATGTTTATTGTATTAATGAACGTTTTACATTGTAACATTAATTCAACGAAGAATATTTTCGGAGAAGATTTTAGCCTCTTTTAAATCGCCAAAATTAAAAACCTACAATTAATTAACAAGTTTCATAGCATTGATGAAAGTTTTGTCAATACAATGAATAAAGAGTTCAATGCATTGATGAACAAGTTTCATTACAGTAATTATTTTTTAACTTCTTTCTTCGTATTAATGAAACAATTTCATTGCTTCAATGGAACATTTTGAATATTTTGCATTGCATCAATGGGAAGTTTCATAACATCAATGAAAGTTATTCATTATATTATTGCAAGTTTTCCATTCTATGAAGAACAGATGATTCCAATGAAGAGCAGACGATAATCTCCAATAAGATTAGTGACTCTTTTCGAAGAAGGCTATAGCCTATTTTTTCAATCTCACAATTGAAGAAGAAGTTTCATTGCATTAATGAAAGTTTTTCAATGCAATGATGAAAAAGTTTAATGCATTGATGAAAATGTTTCATTGCATTAATGAACGTTTTTGCTTAGCACTAATCAAAAAGTTTCAATTCGGAAATTTCATTACATCAATGAATGTTGTTCATTGTATTAATGAAAGTTTTTCATTGTAACGTTAACTCAATGAAGCTTGGATGAAAAGTAAAATTTCGTTTATGTTATCAAGCTTTTTTCTTTATATAAGAAGCCGTGCAATTGAAACACAAATTTTAACATTTAGCCCACTGTAACAATTTTAACTTTTCTTCCTCTTTGTTTCTCTCCGAATTGTGATAACAGTATAACAGTCAGTTGAGAGCAATTTACAAAAAAAAAACGGAGAGCATAACAATTGACACCACTGGTAAACAAAACAACCCAAAGGTATTCCCCTAACAATATTCCATTAAACTTTATATTCTTATCAATTGTTTTGAGCATATTTTTATGTAAACACACACACATACATCTACACACCTATTACCCATTACTAAATTCATAATCTGACTTAACTAATGGATTTTTATTAATGGGTGGAAAAACGAAAGTCTATTTTAATAACCATCTTTACTTTAAATCACATAAAAATGTTATTAAAAAAAATAAATTATGATAAATTATTTTATGAAATTAGAAAAATATTTAATTGGTTTATACATGTATACTATTATGTTAACACTTAATCCAAATTTAATTTTTGTTAGTTACCACTATTTGCTCGTTAGCTGTGATATATTTTTCTGAGTCAAACTGCTGTGGTTATCAGAAAAATATAAATAATTAAAAATAATAACAATAAAAAACAAAAACGTTAAAAGTTTTGTTTTCCAATTTTGTTTTTCTCTGTTTTTTTCTTGTATTTGTTTTTCATTCTCTCACTGATAAAGGCTGATTGGATGGGAGAAACAGTAAAATACATTAGAATAAACAGAAATAAGACATTGATATTACTTTTGGTTTGTGGGTAACGAATTTTTGTTGCGCTACAATGTGGAATTTGTATACATATATTATTAAAATTATTGTTCATTTAATAATTTGGATTATGGATTGCAAAGGTGTTGTTTTGATTTTTAAGAAAATGTTTAAATTTTGAAATAAATGATTAGATGTTAAGTTTATTGTACAGACTCATCCATTTTGTGATTTCAAAACAAAACGAAAATAAAACACATATAAAGTATTAATAATTTAATCTATATCTATGTTACTAATTAAATAAAGTAATTGACTGACCTACTTACTGACATAATGATTTATCAACGCTCAGACGAAACGGTTGAAGAAAAAATCTTGAAATTTTGGCTAAGGGTCACTCTTAGTCTGAAGGTGTTAGATAAGGCTGGGTTTTTGGAAATTCGTACGACACGAAAAGTACTACATGTGGTACAATTTGTTTTTGGCGAACCGATGGAGCTAGAACTCTTAAATTTGGAATGAGAATCACTCATGGAGTGTAGGATAGATGTACTAAAGTTTTTTTTTAAATTCGAAACATAAGTATCTGGAAAGTACTTAAACGTACTAAATCTGGTACAATTTTGTAGCAAGTGAACGGATAGAGCTAAAATTTGGAATGCGAATTATGGTAGAGAAGTATTTTTGATATAAGGAGTTGGTTTTGGAAGTGTGTACTCATATATACGAAAAGTACTATATGATACTATATTTCGTACAATTTTATTTTAGAGGTACGGATGGATCTGAAATTTTAAAAAAACATTTCCGTCGAAGTTTAGCTTTGGGATATGTATGTAATTTTCACAATTTTTTACTTATTTGTAATTGTACTATAATTGGTACAATTTAGAAATAATATTACTGTTGGACTGTAGGATTTGGGTCTGGATATAGTTTTGGAAATTCATACTTATAGGTACTAAATTTTGTACTATTTGAATTTTGGGTGAACCGATAGAGCTGGAATCCTGAAATTTGGAGTTAGAATTACTGTTAGAGTGTAGGATTGGGGTACGTAGGTAGTTTTAAAAATTCCTACTAAGGTGTACTAAATGTTACTAAATTTGTTAAAAATTGGATTTGGGTGAACCGATATAGCTTGAGTCTTTGAAATTTCCTGGCGTGTAGAATTGGGCTATGTAGGAAGTTTTGGAAAATTGTACTTATGTGTATTAAATTGTGTACAATTTAAATTTTGAGTGAACCGATAGAGCTGGAATCCTGAAATAGAGAAATAAGATTTCCATTGACTTAATGATATGGGTAGTTTTGATAATTCGTACTAATGTGTACTAAATGGTACCACATTTGGATTTGTGTGAACCCGTAGAACTAAAAATTAAAATTTGGAGTTAGGGTCTCTGTTGGTTTGCAGAATTGGGCTGTATAGGAAGTTTTAAAAATTCGTAAATTTAAATTTTGGGTGAACTGATAGAGCTGGAATCTTGAAATTTGGAGTTAGATCACTGTTGGGGTGTAGAATTGTCTGTATAGGAAGTTTTGGAAATTCGTACTAATGTGTATTAAAAATGTTACAAAATTTGGTACAATTATATTTGGGTGAAGCGATCGGATTGCAATCCTGAATTTGGAAAATATGAAATTAAGATTTCTGTAGCTCTTCTGACAGAAAGCTGAATAATATACACTGGCGGAACAGAATAAATGACCTGTAATTTTTTAGAAAATAAAGTTATAGTAAAAGTTGTTTCAAAAATAAGTAGCTAATTTATTCATTAAAAAAATAAAATACAAATTTATTTTGAAATAAAAAAAATCTATGAAAAATTAATTGACCCAATTTTGCATGGTTAAAACTATAGCAACCTCGTGATTTTTTCCTATGAATAAGCAAATTTTGCTTGTAATCGACAGCCCAACCATTATTTTTGATTACGGCAACACATCTAAGATCTTTGGATGTACTATTCTTTGCATCCTGAAACTGTGGGAAGAGGTTATGTTTGTTTGTTAGTGAATGACTTTTGATTTTGCTATCTATGATGCTCCAAAGATTTTGAAAGAAAGAGGTTGAAGATCTGATGATTGTGTTGGCCCTGTAGAGTTCCTTTATCCCTAAATTCGTATTTATTTCAAAATGAATTTCGCCTTAAAACTTTTGTTTTTTAAACATGAATAAAGTACCCGATTTAAAACTGAAACAAAAAACAACACGATATCTTTATTTTGGAAAAAGTTATGCGGAATTTATTAACCTTGCAATTTTAGTTGCTTTAGTTGTGGCCACCAGTGTATATCATGAAAAAAGTAAGTTATATGTTTTTTATTTACATCAACTTTTAAAAACCATTAATCTGATAACCCGTATATTGAGGTTATGTTGCAGTGCCATAGCTAAGTGCTCGGCATTCTATTGCATTTTAATTGTCTTCCCTAATTAAATACAAAATATTTTATTTAAGTAAACCTAACGATTCGCCTAATATTATCCCGCATATGGCGGCGTAGCGTACCCAGCACACCAAAAAACATATTCATTCATATATTGCTCATTACTACTACTGTCATCGCCAGTACTACCACCACCACCACCACTACTGTCATTAAAACCATTTTGAGAATGGGGTGTTATGGTGTGGTGGTGGCCGCAATTAGTCACCGATTGTAACGCAGCGCGCAAACACTTGTGGCTTGAGGGGAATTTGTTGTCAGACACGCTCAAACCACAATTTTTTCGGCAGAAGACAATGTGAAAAAAAATATTAAAAAAAAACATTTCATTGTAAAGAAAAAAAAAATAATTTGAAGAATAAAACAAAGCTATCATTTTGAAGTGGCGTGTGTATATTCCATCTTTGACCACTTAAGTTCGACTTACACAAGTTGTGTGTACGGTTGTGTGTGGGTGTGTGAAACAGAATATTCAAATCAAAACAAAAAATACGTAAACAGAAGCCAAAGACAGTTAAAAATGTATACAAAAGAACTGATGAATCACATCGGCGATTATTTGCAACGCATTATCGAGTTACAAGTCTTGGATACAGCCAAGAATAAAGATCGAGGTAATCAAATTTCGATTTCAATTGTATTCTGATCATTTTCTGATGTAATAATACGACGTAATATGATGACGATAATGAGAATGAGAGTGGCGGTGATATGCCTAGTTAGATATCAAATTGTATTTATTTTTATTTGCAAATATTATTTGAAATTTTGTTTTTTTTCGCAATATCTATTGAAGCATAATTGAAAGGCGTCTTTTTTGCTTCTACTTGGGGTTTCTGCTGATGGTGTCTGACAGCTATCTATTTTTTATCAGTTATTGTGAAATTGCTGCCAATTTACTCAATGCATTATCAATTTATTTTGTTTATTTTTCTCTTTCTATTATACATTTCTTGCTCGTTGTTTTTGTATTTATTTTTATTTCTTATGGAAACTTGGGGAATAAATATGCCGGCATGGTTGTAGATTTAATTTTCACAATCATTGTATTGAATCCATTTTTGATGTTTCGAACAAATGAAGGCCATGCCGGCTTCAAAATGCAAGTGTGTGGTTTAATAATCTGTGGTCATTCGATTCTTGATATAAATAATCTCCACTGATTAATAGCTTAGGCGGTGGCGTTTTCGTTTCAAAGCCGGTGACTTGCTTTTATCGCCCACTAAAAATATCGTTGCATTTTAAATGGTAAATATTAATTGGTATTTTTTTATCTAGCCCCGACCGCTTATCACCACAATTTACCTACCCTTCCCCTTCAAATAGAAGGTTTTTGCACGCTGGTCGTTGAATCTTAAATATCGACATTGATACAACAAATAAATTGCCTTCAAAGGGGCTCCTCTTCATTTTTTATAGATTCAGTTCCGTTCGAGAACATGCAAGAATCTGCTATTAATCGAAATCTTTTTCAGTTCTCGCTTAATAAATTTTAAAAGTTTCGACCCTAAAGACCCTAACATTGCAATAAAATAGAGTGGTACTCGTATAGGCGATACAGATGGTATATATCCCGGACATGAAGTTAAATAAAACCAGTGTGTGGAGCTGTATAGTAGGACGGGCCGACCATATGATACTCTACACGGCCGTTCTAAGTATTTTGTCATCGTGTAATTATTAAAACAGACACGCCTATTCTTTGACCAGATTCCCTTCCTGGTGTAAAATTTCGTGGTGTACAACTCAAAATTGAGGCCTCTAAAGCGTCCAGAAAATCAGACAAATATAAAGTTTTTTTTGTCTATTTTATCCCCTAAATATTAACCGATCATTACCAAAAATAGAGGTTTTCTTTCGCCAGAACCCATCATACATGCAAAATTTCGTGACGATTGATCCATAAATGTGCCTGTGTTTACAAAGTATAATGGACAGACGGACGGACACAAATGTCTAAATCGACTCAGTTAGTCGAGATATGACGATCGATATACTTAAAGGTGGGCCTTCGGCCAATATTTCGTGACTTTTGACATTCGTACTAGAAGAAGTGAACCGACATATCACCATCTTCGGGACCTTCATTAAAGGCGGATTACCTATGGTATATTTTTGGTAGGAAGATTTGACACCCAATGGAAACCAAATTAGGGCATATTCGGTTTTATTTTTCGCTTTATATAAGATCAGTGCAAGTGAGAATTATCGAGAGAAAAAGAGATAGGATAAACGTATTTTCAAAAAAAAATAAGAAAGAACAAGAAAAAACGTAAGCATGAACCAATCGAGATGTACAGGAGTCACATGATATATTGTATATATATATATATATATATTGTATAACAGCTAGCCAAGATGAGGTCAAAATTGTAATTAATCGGCTGAAGAATAAGAAAGCAGCAGATGCCGATGGATTAGCAGCCGAACTATTCAAAACCGGTGGTTAGACGATGATCAGGAGTATGCACCAACTGATTAGTACAATTTGCCTAGAGGAATACCTGTCAACTGATTGGACCCTCAGCATCATGTGCCCCGTGCACAGAAAAGGACACAAGACGATATGTGCCAACCATAGAGGAATAAGTCTCCTTCCCATCGCATATAAAGTGCTATCCAGCGTACTGTGTGAACAACTGAAGCCAATGGTCAATGACATTATTGGACCATACCAATGTGGTTTCAGGACTCGCAAATCCACCATTGACCAGATTTTCACTCTGCGTCAAATCCTGCCAAAGACCCACGAAAAACACATTGACACATTTCACCTATTCGTCAACTATAAAGTCGCAATCGACAACCCAATCCACTCAGAGGTGTTTAAAGCCATGTCTAAAAGAATAGTATTGGTCCACAGATGCTACTATGGTCTGAGTAAGCAATTTGAGAACAAGACCACCCCTCGTCAGACCAAACTCACACTCTAAAAGGTGCTGATAGTACCCGTGGCGGTTGTGTGGATCAGAACCAAGCAGATGAGGCAGTTCTAGGAGTGTTTGATCGGACAACGGCATAGTCACACGTATCGAGCTGCAACGACTACGTTGGCTAGATCATGTTGTGAGAATGGATAAGGATGACCCAACTGAAAAGGCATATAAAAGCGAGCCAGCTGATGGTTCACGCAGAAGGGGGAGGCCACGAATTCGATGGAAAGATCAAGTGGAAGACAACATCTCGGAACATGGTCTATCAAATTGGATGAGCTGCGCACAAGGTCGATTGCCCTGGAAATTTTTTTCAAGCTCGGCTTATGGAATAACTTTTCTGTCTCTTTGGAGAGGTTACGGATGAGGTTATCCTATAGACCTCATCTTAGAATTTAATGTAGTTTTGGAAAAAATATTTCGATTTGCAAAATTTGGATAATTCATTCAATTTAAGATTGATCTATGTAAGGTAAATATATTACCATATATAAAGTTTGGAGGAAATTGAACAGTTAATTTTTTATTTCAAGGTTGTCGACCACAACACAACATTTTCGATCCAAATTTGCTCCAGAATGTTACAAATAGCAACGATTTATCGTTATGACCTTAAAATTGAACCTTAAGACGTATACCTACTGACAGTCCAACATCTCAGCAAGTCGTAATATTAAGTAAATATTTTTTTTAATATTACAATAAATCGTATTTCGCGAACTTGTATATGTATTTTCTTATTAATTTAGATTTAGTTCCCAAACAAAATATTTGGGAAATTAGTTTTTAAGAAACTAAATAAAACATGAAATGTGTGATGCATACTTTTAGGCAAATTTAATATATTTATAGGTTTTCTTCAGATGTGGATTTAAAATTAATTGAAAATCTTTCTTCCTTGTTATTTATAAAAATGTATTTCAGAACTTCTCGATTTTTGTTTTTGATCTTTCAAGTCTTATACAAATTATAATATTTAAAGATATAAAGGGAATGATAGTAGTGTTCATCATATTTTTAGACAAAAAGTATTAACTTATTAAAATACAACTTCATTTTCAAAAAATACTAATCTATATTTTCTATTTTTTTCAGGTAAGGAAATTACATTATTATAAATAATGGAATGGAATGCAGTGAGTAATTCATAAGTGATGTAATCCTTTATCTTACATTGAATTAAATTGTTATGATAAATACATATATTGGATATCTAATTTAATATGCCCTGCGAAAAATCTACGGCTGTGGAATATAATTGTTCAAAAATAATTGTGTATAATTTTGACAAGTTTCCTATGGTCAAAAATGTATGTTAAGATTTTGCAAGTGAAATTAACATTAATTTTCGAGCCAGAAATTGGAATTACTATTGAATTTTTTAATAAAAAATGTGTGATGCATACTTTTAGGCTGATTTCATCACAACCTTACCATATGTGCTTTAGAAGAAATAATATCTTCGTTAGATTTTTGTGTGTATAATCGCTTTTATTTTTCATAAAAATTCTCCACAATATTTTCAATTACCACAATTAGCCAAAGCTGGCCAGGTACATGTTGTTGTGACAATATCAAAATTCAAACCAGGTGGACAATTGTAATCATAACGAATACTACCGATACACTGATGGAAACGACTACAATCCGATTCGTTGGCAAAATAACCATCACTGCTACATCCCTGTGTGAGCACATCATTGGGTTTGTTCACAACTGGAGCAGATGTTTGAGGTTTTCTCGTTGTTCCCGGTGTCTGTTGTGGTTTCGAATTTATTTCACCACCCGTCACACCCAATGCCTTATTTAGGGCCTTCAGTAGAACATATTTCTCACCACCACATTCACCACGAAAATCATCCATTTCCAATGACCAAATCATGACACCACCCAAATTTAAAGAATTGGCCAGTTGTACTTTCATTCCGATACTTTTTGCATCATCGTACCCAATCCATTGATAGCCATTAAAGGCATAGGGTACACCATGGCTATTATCGAATTCAAGGTAATAACCTTGTTCTTTGGTTAATTTACAAATTTCATTGTAACCCATAAAACCAGGTTGTTGGGTATATGGCCCCGGCGATCCAGCACCCAATTGTGAGGCACCAGCTATGGGTTGTTGTGCGTAAGCATAATGACGTCCATAAAATGCCAAACCCATAATTAATTTTGATGGCGGAGCTCCTGAAGTGGAGTTATATTAAAATTTGTTTGAATTATTGATTGTCCGCTTACTAACCTGCATTTAACCAATATTTAACAGCCGATTCCACATTATTTTCACCTTGACCTTTCAAAGGGGCATTGTAGGATAATGTGGCCGCATCATGAAAGTCATAGGTCATAATGTTGATAAAGTCTACATATTTTGAAATATTGGGAATATCATAAGATATGGCTGCGGTAGTTGCGGAGGCCCCCACAGCAATGCCTAGTTCCAAATTCAAGGGTGTTAGACTGTACAAAATTGAAAAAAATATAAAAGAGTATAAAAATATATTAATTTTGGGTTTTAAATTGTTACTTACGCCTCCTTCAATTCCTTGAGAAGAGTTACAAAATTTTGCTTATCCTGTGGAGAAGACCCATCACGTTGTGCCGGATATTCCCAATCAATATCAAGACCATCAAAACCATGTTGTTTAATAAAGGCCAGGGATGATTCAATGAATGCTCTTCTTTTGTTGGCATCCGCAGCCATGGCGGAAAACTTGGCAGAACCTTCGTTCCAACCACCTACCACGGCCAAAACTTTAAGTTTGGGATTAATTTTCTTCAGCTGCATTGTTTTCCGGATCATTCCTTTTCAAGGAAGAGAAAAAAGAGAGAAAGGTTAAGGTTATCGATTATGCGACACAACACTTGGCTGTGCGTACTGAGTACGTTTATACTAAAACATCCAACTTTCCAATGGAAATGCAAGATGGCCTATGCCAGAAATATATACATATAGTCGTCATATATTTCTGGCATAGAGAAAAAACATACGTATATCGATTTCCGGTCTTTAGGGGCCCTATCTAGAATCTTATGAGCGACATTTTTGTAAAATATTTGGAGGTGGAGAAAATTAGGACAAAAAAACGCACAAGGATAGGTTTAAAAAAATTTAACCTATGGCGAATATACTCACCAAGGACTTTCGACCAAGGATTTTTTTCGGCCCTCAGCCTTTTGGCCAATATTACGGCAAAAATGTGCGTCATCGAAATATTTGTTTTAGACCCCATGTTTCTTTGGACAAAGTCCGTTTCAGACAATTTGGAGTTTATCTACAAATGTGCGTCCGTCTGATTGTATGGCTGGCTGGTGCGCACGATAACTCTTGCAGGGAATAACCGATTTCAAACGAACTTTAAACATCATAATATTTCTCTCAAATTTAGTTCAAGTTCGAAGATGGCGGATATCAGTCCCCTTCTTCTGGTACCAATCCCACAAAATGGTCAAAAAACAATTTTTAATATCCCCACAAATTCAAAAATTTCATTATTTATAAATCCAAAATCAGGCGAGTGGAATGTCCGATATGAACTAAATTTTTCACAACCTATTATCTGTACCAAGCCTAGATCAAGTCCGAAGAGGTGACCGATTGATCCACTACTTCAGGAGCTGCCCCACAAATGTTCAAAGTTGTCTATAATTATAAATCAAATATCAGGCGAATGAAATGTCTGATTTGAACCAAAATTTTCACAACCTATTATCTGTACCAAGCCTAGATCAAGCCCGAAGATGGGACATATTGGTCGACTCCTTCTGGTACCTCAACATAAATGGTCAAAATTTTCAATATTTATATACCTAATATAAGGCGAATTCAATGTCCGATTTGAAACAAACTTTGCGCAACATGTTAAATTTATCCAACCTAGATCAAGTCCGAAGATGAGAACCATTAGTTCTGGTATACCCCCCTAGATGGTCGAAGTTGAATGTCCGATTTGAACTAAAATTTGCACAATCTATCAAGTCCGAAGATGGGACTGTTTGGTTTACTCCTTCTGATACCAGGTACAACCTGGTACCTTGGCACAACACTAGTATTTTTATCATGCCTAGATTAATTCCGAATTGGACCCATTGGTCCACTCCTTCTGATACCTCCCCCAGAAATGTTCAAAGTTTTCAATACTTATAAATCCAATATCAGGCAAATGCAATATCCGATTTGAACCAAACTTTCCGCAACATATTATCTTTACCAAGCTTTGGTCAAGTCCGAATATGGAACCCATTGGTCCACTCCTTCTAGTACCTCCTCCACGAATGGCCAACATTTTATAAATTTGTAAATTTAATTTGAAGCGAATTGAATAACCGATTTGATCAACATTAAATCGGAAACCTCTTTTAATAGAAACATGTACCTCACAGAAAGCAAATAAAAAAATTTGTGTGTAATACCAAAGACCTCCGCAAACCATATCTGTCGGCAAAACCGAGTGACAATTTTTACTTGTTTGAATTAAAGACAAGTGCTTCTTTTTGACGGTGGCCATAATTAAATTTTGATCGGATTGATTTTCAGTTTTACAGCTGTCATGCTGATATATCAGCTATATCTTTAAGAGTTGTTGAGATTTTCACTACAAATTGTTACATTCTTGAGACATTCTTGAATTAGTCAACATAACACCCCACTCATAATTATCATCTCTCTAGGCTGTTCGAACTTATTTTAACCTCGTCAATTTTTATACACATTCTCTAAAACATGATTCTGGTGCTCAATAATTTTTTGTCAACTAGCAAATTCTCATGGCGGTTTTTTTCAGCAAGGGCATAAAAAGTCTCTCAACGGATATTTACTATTAGAATTAAGTTTTTCATAAATAGATCTCCATAAGAACTAGCATGGTAGCCTGTTATAGGATTAACATAATTTATATATATATCTCTCACAAAATAACTTACCCACACCCGTATCCATGTCAAGCCATTCATCCAAGGATTTAAATTTTCCACTTATTGGATCAATGCCAAAGAAGCTATAACTTATGTGGGTACACAAATGGGGATCAATATTAGAGGCCTCAAATTTACCATTGCCAGTGCGATAATTGGCCCAAGTGCCGTAGTAGCAATTTACCATTTTATTGGCTGAAAATTAAAATCGAGAGAAAGATTATTACACAAAAATATAAAACGTTTTTAAAGACATAACATTTTCTTTGAACTTATTTTATATTTGACAAAAATTTATTTCATTACCCACCATTTACCATGACCCCCAATGAGGCCAAAATTAATAACGACACTATTTTCATTTGGAACATAATTAGCTCCACTATTTAATTTCTACTTCTTCTTTTCCCAGATAGTTAAGAAATATTAATCTTATCCCTTGACATTGATGAGGCTTTTTATAAGCTGCAATAGCATTGCCTCCTGACATAACATACCATCATCAGAAGGTGTTATTATTTTATGATTATTTGCCAAAGAGAGAGGTTATTGTCAGAAATACAAACAGTTTTCATAATAATAAAAATATGTTTATTTGTTTTCTGCTACTGATATTTGCAGAACATTGTTGGATTTTTGTTTTTCTTTTTTTTTTAAGAAAATAATTTGTTCTATCTTTCTCGGAATTTCCAACTTTCTTTATTCTTTAGAGTCATTAACACAAAACATGTTTTATATTTTACTTCGCCTTCGATGGAATTAGCAAATATAAAATTTTTGTTCAAACATGGGCATAAATTGTTGTGTTCGCGAGAATGTTTCGATAAGTATTTATCAATTACGCATTAATTGTGTGAATCAGAAGCAACAGACACGCCAGTTTTGCTTTATTGTGAAATATGTTTTAGTACTAAATTCCACAAAAAATGTACAGTACTTGTGATTGATGGGAAGTACCTTTTTCTCAACATGCATACTCAGTATTGTAGTAATAAAATTTAAATATATATTTAGATGCATATTTTCTTTGAAATTGTTTATGGTGTAATAATTTGAATTATGTTATTTACAAAAGATGGAAAACCACAAATGTATAAATGAATATACGTTAGAGAGAGAGAGAGGAAGAGACAAACAATTTAGGGTTATCCTTTTCGTAGTTTCAATAGTAAACGTAAATAAAACACATGAAGTATTTTTTTTTAATAATACATATTTTTTATTCTAAAGTTTGAACGTTAGCATGGTGTGTGAAACACTACATGATTCTTTGATGTAATTTTCGGCCAATTTTGAAACATAATGGGTGGCATCTCTGCCTTATTGTAGACATAAAAAAATATTTTAAAACATCCACACCTTTTTGTAGACCTTAAAAATAGTTTTTAAAAATCTACGCCTTATTGTAGGCATTCAAAAATATTTTTTTATTGTGGATTTTAACTACCATTGTAGACTTCAAAAAAATATTTTTGTTAATCTGCAGAAATACCAAACGCAGGCATGGCTTTAAACACCTCTGAATGGATAGGGCTGTCGAATGCGGCTTTATAGTCGACGAATTGGTGGAATATGTTGATGTGTTTTTCGTGGGTATTTTCCAGAATTTGGCGCAAATTGAAAATCTGGTCGATGGTGGATTTGCCAGGTCGGAAGCCGCATTGGTATGACCCAATAATGTCATTGACCATTGGCTTCAGTCGTTCACACAGACCGCTGGATAGCACTTTATATGCGGAAGGAAACTTATTCCTCTATAGTTGGCACATATCGTCTTGCTGAGGTTCCATTGGACATGCATTCCTCCAGCCAAATTGTACTAATCAGCTGGTGCATGCCCCTGTCCAGCATCTGACCAATAGTTCGGCTGGTAACCCATCGGCAACTGCTGCCTTATTATTTTTCAGTCGATTGATTGTCTCATCTCTCTACAGGAGAATGTGACTGCACCAAAACCGTAGGTTTGATGTTGGCAAAATACCCGGATTCGTTTTGGCACCTGTAAATCTCGATTTGCTTCCCCTGACGTTTTTCTTGTTCTTTCTTCTTTTTTCTGAAAATACGTTTCTTCTCTCTCATTTTCTCCCGATAATTATCCATCACATTACGTGTTGCTGCTGTCGCGACATTTTTCACATCAGCAGCACTGCGACACTCCTGATCGTACCCTGGGTTTATTGATGTTGGTCTTTGGTACCCAAGTGTTGCTTTTGCTGCAGTTTGTAGGAGGTGGGCAATTCATTGCCATTGTGCTTCTATATTATTATCGGGACAAGGAGTGCTATCGTGAAGCAGGTGGATATGTTGAGCGGGGTAGGGCTCGGCTACCTGTTGTGTTTGCAGCTTTTCGACGTCGTGTTTCCGTGTTGTGTTAGATCGCACCTTTAAGACAAGTGCGAACCTTGGCTGCTACAAGATAGTGGATCGATCCTCGGATCGATTGAACGTCTAAAACACTGGATGAATGCCTTCCGTCTATGACAACATGGTCAATTTGATTTCTCGTTGCTTGATCGGGAGAAATCCAGGTAAATCCAGGCTTTGTGTATATCGAGATGCTTGAATCTGGTGCTGCTAACTACCGCAACCTGCCGCAACCTCCTGCCTTTGTCTGACGTTTCTACATGGAGACTGAATTTTCTGACAATGGGGCCAAAAATATTTCGCCTTCCGCCTTCTGAAGAAATCCTTTGAAAAGGATATTTCCAGTGGAGAATATGATTTCCAGGACAATTCTGCCGGGTCAATATTGGTATCAATGGAAAGCTTATGAAGTGTACTACTCATTGGCATTGCAAAAAGGATACCAAGTTCGGGTGGATTCCGCAGTATTTGACAGTTACTGAAGAAATCCTATGAAAAGGATATTTCCAGTGGATAATATGATTCCCAGGACAATTCTGCCGGGTCAATATTGGTATCTATGGAAAGCTTATGAAGTGCACTACTCATTGGCATTGTCAAAAGGATACCAAGTTCGGGCCGATTCCGCCGTATTTGGCAATTACTGAAGAAATCCTTTGAACAGGATATTTCCAGTGGTGAATATGATGATCAAATGTCCTAGCAGAATTTTAATGTCATGGCCAGGGCAGCATATATGCTGTTTCTAGGCGCTCGTAAAATATGTCTTTGGTCTGTTCATCTTTGTCTTCGCAAATGAGACTGATGTAGAAGAACTTCACTTTTATACGGATTATAACAATTCGCTCATCTACTGGAGCGAATCTGGAGACGAGGTCTTTTATTCTCTTGTTAACCATAAATCCGCAGCCAAACTCATGTCTCGTTTCATGGCAGCTATAATACAGGGCGTAATCATCTGATTTACTTACACCAGCTCCTTTCCATCGCATTTCCTGTAAGGCAATAATATCGCCTGTTCTGTACAACGTGCGCACATTCCAAGTGCTAGGTGTTAGTTTCTTAGCGATTTCTTTAATCAGATTTCCCTTTATTCATTTGCTATTTGCAATATAATTTACAATGCAATTATTCATTTTCTTAAACAAAAGTATATATGCATTCATATATAAATTTTCACGTCGAAGTTGATTGATGATTGCAAACATTAGTGGTGGGTACATACGACGAGTACATTAGTTTATCTATCTGCCGTCGACCACACCTTGTATTTGCTGCGGTCATATCAATAACATTTCAGAATAAAAAAAACAATGGAAAACAAAATACCACAAAACGTTTTTGCATACAAATTCTTAGATTACAACTATTTTTATCAGTTGTAAAATAAACAAGTAGAATGTGTGTATGAATAGATAGTTATAGAATATAAATTGCAAGCGAGAAAAAATTATCACTGGAAATTATTGGGAATTGGAATGCTAAGAAAGAATGCTGTAATGACTAAAATTATATAATAATGGCATTTTTTACTCAGCACAATTTCATACTGATTTTAGTAACATTTATTAACAGACCTAAATTTTGAAAGTTTATAAATTTTATATGATACGATCCGATTTGATCCATGTGGTCATTTTTTATTAAAACTCGGTACATTCCCACTACTACCCCTACCGTAAATTGAGCTAATTTTGAAAAATCATAAATCTCATAAAATTTTAATTAATAGTTTTTAAAAAGTTAACGTCTTATTCTAGACGTTATAAAAAATATTGTTAAAAAAATCAACTCCTTATGTAGACCTTAAAAAAATTAAACGGGACACGGGTTGGAAATTTCGGCTAAATCTTTTAAAATATCTAAAATTGGCGGAGACCTTTTTGTGGAGGCTATGTCAAAACCGAAAGCTCGCTACTGTCTGAAATGTTTTCATCCTCCAAGAATTCTAAATGAACACAGCTTTTTCGGTTGTAAAATGCGACTAATGTCTCAAAAAAACTGAATACTGGTCGATAATTTTAATCGGTTTATAAAACTGGCACAAAATTCGCATTTATTATCTTAAAATCAGGTTAAAATATTTAGGGACCGGAATCGGTTTCTCGCAAATAAACCCTTAATATTTTTAGATATATGATGTGATCTATTTATGTTAGAGATTTCAGACGAACTCGACAATTCTTAATAATCTACAAATTATATCAGATGTATTAGAGTGGGTAGATAAAAGGTTGTGTCTAAGCAAGGATCGGCTAATAGTGTAAACGGATAATGGGACATGCGATCATCAATTGTTTTTTTTTTTTTTTTTGAAATCTTATGATCGAAATTTTTTAGAAAAAATTAGGACCTAAAAGACCACAAGAATTCGCTATAGAAAGATGATATCCCTCATTCGATTTGACTGATGACATGTAACCTGCAATAGTCTTACCAGGCCTCTTCAAAAGCCTTACCAGCAAAATATTCATCACGCCACAACACATCAACAACAATAGAATGGAATCCACACGCCTGTAAAATAAATTCTACAAAATCTATTTCAAAATTGTTTTCTTAAGAGAATTGTGTGGTGTGAATTTCCTGAAAATTTTGGTGCATAATTTGCATTTTTACAATTGATTCGAAAGCCAAGAAGAAAGTGAGTGATATTGAAATTTTCGTTCGTATAATAACAATCCAATTCACGATAGTGAATCCTAATTTATTAGAAATGGTTTTCGATTTAACTTTCGTTTGAATACATGTTCGTCCAGAAAGGGTTTAGATAAATCCAAATTTATTTTTTTTCGAATGGAATAAAAGAAAGACCTTTCATCTTAGTGAAACAGGCTGTTAATTCCTGTTTAAAATTTCAAGTGAAAACTTAAACCAGCTGACCATTCTTAAAGTCGCAGATAGGTAGAATGGGTGGTTAAACAACAACCGAACAAACATTGCATCAGCGATGAAGCACATTTCCCACTCTAATAAACAATATTGTCGTATTTGGGGTTCTGAAAAA